TATAATAAAAATTAATTTAAATTATGCTTTAGTTAGTTCTAAAAAGTGTAAAAATTATAAAAAAAAAAGTTAATACTTTAAGTATAGTAAGTATAGTTATATCTTTTAAAACTACTCTATTTCTTTTCTTTAAGTCTATGTAAGTAGTGCTGCTAGCACTTATTAAAGATCTTTACTATTTTAATTTTATTTTTATAAGAGCTTTAACTTATATTTAAGCCTTAATTTTTTTTACTACTTTTAACATAGCTGCAGCTATAGTAGTAAGAGCCTATAAAAAGGCTTATTCTAGAGCTAAGTTGCCTTTTAGAACTAATTTAACACTAGATTTCTACTAACTTATAAGCTAAGTCCTTTACTAATAACTAGAAGTACTAAGTTAATATTCTTATATATTTATAATAAAAAACTATATTAGCTTTAATATAAGCTTTTATTAACTTAAAAGTAAATAGTATAGGTTATATTAATAAAAAACTAGCATGTAAACTAAATCTTTAATTAACACTACTTACTTAAATAATTTACTTAACTAGATTTAATAGAAAATAACTTAAAAAAAGTTTTCTTTTTTATACTATAACTATTATAATTACTTACTAACACTATAAGGAGCAGATTAAGCTTTATGTAATAAACATAAAATGTTATAACCTAATTCTAAAATAACTATAGCTATATTAGCATAAGGTTACTTTTAATTACTAAAAGTAAGTTCTAAACTTTAACTCTTTTTAATGCTAAGATATATGCTTATACTTACACCTAAATAACACTTAAGTAGCACTTAATATAAAAAGTTTTTAGACTTACTTTTTAATAACCTAGAGAAGAACTACCTAAGTAAGGCTAATAAGCTAGGCCTTTTACTAAAATAAGCTACATAAAATAATTTAATAACTACTTAAACTTAAAAAAAAAAGCTTTTATAAAATTTTTACTTACTTAATTTAGACATAAACTAGGACTTAAATAGTAGATAGACATCTACTATATAAAACCTACTCTATTTATAACTCTAGCTTAATAACTAGATTATAAAATCTATATAGTTATAATTTCTAATATAAACTAAGCTTTAGCTCTTTAAAAACACACTAACTTAAAAATAATAGTCTCTTAAAACTACTATAACTTATTATATAGCTTTTTTTTAAAATAAGTTTAATAAGCTTTTAATATAATGTCTATATAATTACTAGATAACTTTTAAGCTTAGTAAATAACCTAGTTATAAGCTACTATATAAAATGTTACTAAATAAATTAAAAGTGCTCTAAAAATACTTTAATAAGACCTTAAAAAAAAAGTTTATTTAAGCTAGCTTTTTACTAGTAGCGTTACTTATACTATTTATAAAGAAACCTAAAAGTAGGCTTTAATTTTATGTTAACTACTAAAGACTAAACACTGTTACTATTAAAAACTAATACTTAATTTTTTTTTTATAAAAAACTCTAAGCTAACTAAGTAAAGTAAAGTATTTTATAAAGTTAAATATTATTACTGCCTTTAATAAGCTAAGAATAGTACAAAGTAATAAGTAGCTAACAGCATTTTAGACCTAATATAGACTATTTAAGTACCTAGTAATGCCCTTTAGCTTAGCTAACACGCCTAGTACTTTTTAATATTTTGTAAACAACTTGCTCTAACTCTACCTAGACATGTTCTATACTGCGTATATTAATAATATTCTAATTTATAGTAATAGCCTTTTAGAGCATAAATAGCATGTACGCCTAGTGCTAAAAGCTATAGAAGAAGTAGGTCTATAACTTAATGTAAATAAATGTAAGTTTTACTAATTAAAGGTTATGTATTTAGAATATATAATCTTTATAAATAGCATTTAAATAGACCTTATTAAGGTTTAGACTGTACTAGATTAGCAATACCTAAAAAATATAAAAGATGTTTAAGCCTTTATAAAATTTACTAACTTTTACTAATAATTTATTAATAACTTTTTATAGTAAGTAAGCTTTATAATTACACTTACTAAAAAAAAGATTTAATTTAACTTTAACTTAAATTACTAATAGTTCTTTAACTAGCTAAAAAAAGCTTTTACTAAAGCCTTAATACTCTACTACTTTAACTTTAAACTACTAATACTTATAGAAGCTAATGCCTTAGACTACATAGTAGCAGAAGTTTTCTTCTAGACTAAGCTAGACAGGACTATTAGGCCTATTGCATACTTCTTAAAAAAAATAAGTCCTATAAAAAGTAATTATAAAATCTATAATAAGAAATTACTTACTATAGTACACTACTTTAAATAATAGCAACCTAAACTAGAAAGTGTAGCGCATCTAATACAGGTTCTATTTAACTATAAAAACTTATAGTACTTTATAACTATAAAACAACTTAGCTACTAATAAGCTTATTAGTTTAAATACCTGTCTTATTTTAATTTTAAGATTACTTATTATCTTAGTTAAGATAAAAGGAAACTAGATGCCTTTATAAAGTAATCCTAAAATATTTTTACTTAAAAAGAAGTGTAAAAAGCTTAACACTAAACTTTACTTTAACCTAAGCTATTTTTAAACCTTAACCTAAATAAAATAAATTAGATAATTAATTAAATTATTATTAATAAGTATTTAAATAATAAATTTATTTAAAAAACTTTAGACCTGCTCTAAAACAGCGCTAGTTAGTTAAAGAAGGTAACACTAGCTAACTATAAAAACTAAAATAGTAAGCTATATTACTATAACTAACTTATAATTTCTAATTTTAATAAACTAAGAATTAAACTACTCTAAATTATACACAACTTGCCTATTAAAAGACACCTAGGCAGAGAAAAGACTCTTAACCTACTACAGAGAGAGTACTACTAGCCCTGCATGTTCTATACTGTACGCTAATATGTATTATGTTGCTATACTTGCTGTAAAGTAAAGGCCTTTTAAAAAAGGTATAATAGCCTGCTTAAACTACTTCTAATCTTTAAATAAGCTTAGAAAGATATATTAATTAATTTTATTATAAACTTACTTTTATTTAAAGAGTATATAAATATTATAGTAGTTGTTAATTACTTAACTAAGTATTAATACTTAATACTATGTTCTTTTATAACTACCTCTAATATAGCCTAGTTATTCTACTAATATGTATAGGTTTACTATAGCCTACCTAACATAATTATATTAGATAGGGGTATGTAGTTTGTCTTAGCCTTTTAGAACAAACTTTATAAACAGCTCTAAATTATCTTTTATCTATCTATAGCTTTTTACTTAAAGACTAACAGCTAGACTAAAAACATAAACACTATAATAAAATAAGTTCTATAAGTATACATAAACTACTAGTAAAATAACTAGGTAAAATAGTTAGCTATAGCATAGTTTAAAGCTAATAATATAATATCTAAATTAACATAAGTATCTTTGTTTTTAGTAAACTATAGATACTACCTTTAAATAGAATTTAAACTACTTTTAAATACTCTCTAACTAACTTATTAATTTATATAAGTAATAGATGTAAATAAACTTATTAATAAAATTTAAAATATATTTAAATATATTTATAAAAAGCTTACATAGGCTTAAGCTTTTTAATAAAAGTACATAAACTAATTCTAAACCTCTGCCCCTACATATGCAGCTAGCAAGAAGGTCTAGCTAGACACTAGAAATATCTAAATAAACTAATAATTAAAGAAACTTAATTAGAAGAACTTTAGCCTTTTTATAGTAGCTTATATAGTTTTATTACATGCTTACTAATTAATCCTACCTAACAGCATAAAGATACACTCTGTGTTCTATGTATTATTGCTGCGCTAAGTAGCCTCTAAATCTAACTATTTATCTAAATAGCTAAATCTGCTATTTAAACCTATTATTATAAATAATAAACTAGAATATGTTATAAAAGACATTAAATAAATTTAGTTTAATAAGAAAAAATATATCTATAAATACTTTATAAAATAGACTAGATATAATAAACTGTTATAGAAACTTATAGAAGCTTTATAAAAAAACTCTATAGTAACTTAATTTTATACCTAATACTTATTTAAACTAAACCTATACTTTAATAAAGATAACTTAATGCTAGAACTACTAATGTAAAGAATTTCCTTTCTAATAAGAGGGGGGGTACTGTTATAGTATTCTCCCTAGATCCTAGACATAACTATATTAGACGCATACTAGAGTATTATTAGTGCACGTCTAATATAAATATAACATAACATAGATATAAACTTAAGCATAAACTACCTTAACACTAACTAAACTTAGAATAGGCTTAATTTATACCTAAAGTGCTTAGACTTTTAAGCTAAGTATTTAATTACTAATTTTCTTCTAAACCTTTCTATTCCTTACACAATGTCTTATACCTACTATGATACCTCACGTAGTAATTAAACTAGACCTCCGTGAAGCTCTATAACCTTACTCGTGCACAATCGTGACAGTGAGGATGGGATCTCAATAGCAGTCGTTGACGCTGCAGCGCGCTGCTCATCCACAAAGGTAACCTTTCTCCGCGTTGGGTTCTTTAATCTACCAGCTCTCTGACTTTTAGAAGGTGCTTTAGACGCTGCTGCAGCAAGGGCCCTAGCTGATGGTTGGCGGCCAGTACCAGTTCTCAAACGCGTGGCTGCTCTGGCCATGGCTTTTAGGGCAGAAAACGTTTGCTCAGGGCTTTTTTAAACCACTAGAAATTAGTTTTATTATCTCCTAATTAGGAAGGACGTGCATCGTTAAAATCTAACTAAAATAACAAATATTTAGGCATATATGCAGGCAAGTTGTCGCTTTGTTGAAGTTCTCATATATTTAGTGAGGCGAAAAAGACGCGACGCGAATGCCAAGACATAGCCACAGATTAACGCACATCATAGATCTAAGCGAGCGCCGAGATATCTCACGTTTAGTTCCGATCCCGACTCCGAGTCCGAATCGCGGATGAGCTGCTACTATAAAATGAAGCTATTCTGCCATTCCACTAACATAGATGTTTCCACAAGGCAGAGGGGAACCAGAAACACTTACCAGTCGTGAGCGTCAAAATATACAAAGCGCAGCAACAGAGCGACCGAATGGACCCGATCATCTTCACATCACGGTTGAAACTTACGCTTGTTACAAAAGCGGAAAGAGGAAGTCCGGAGTTCGAGTGGTTCCATGAACTGCGCAGCAACGAAAAGACTACGTCATGGAGGTAATGTGGAGATTTATTCTTTGAGCTGTTGTCGCGACTGACTTCGTGAAGCATCTATGGCCAGTCGAAGTCCATTGAGGACACGGAGAGAGTCATGAAAGGTTGTCTGCCGACCGATGAGGGAGAGAAAAAATCATACAGAGTCGCCTATGCCGTGCACAAGTTCCTTGGGTCAATGAAAGGTTCTGTTGAAAGCGAGCCGCAAGCCGTAGGGCAAGGGGAAAAATTAACAGAATTTGTCGGTCTTGTCACGCTGAAATCGCTGGATCATAGTACCCTTGCATTGCCAGAGGATCTCACGTTACCGGCTGTAGCTGGAGCTACAACACTGACCGTTGAGCTCGGATATATGTTCTTACCCATCGCATGGGGTAAAGGTTACGCCACTGAGTCGGTGGAAGCAGTATTTGAGTCCTGCAAGAGGGCGCAATCTTTTTGGACACCCTTCTCAAAGCTCTACGTTAGAGCAATTGTGAATGAAGGTAATCCAGCGAGTTTGCGAGTGATGGCTAAGGCTGGAGTGAAGGAACGTGGTGTTTATGATTGGGAAGGGAAAGCTGTATTCCTTGGTGGAAAATGGGAAGAGCGGTGTCGTCTTCATATATTTGGTATCTATCTGTTAGAATGACGAAGTTTAGATCTTAGCCGCAAGATACTGTCGCACGTGACATTAGTTTACGTGACCCTGAGTCAGAGTGAGTGTGGGTCCTTCACCTCTCGTCCTTTCCTCTTTAGGACTAACCCTCTTTTAGGACTAACCCTCTTTTAGCTATATATTTACCTCTGGTCTCTCTTGACTTCTGGAGACATTACACCTCACCTCAATATACCTAGGTTGTCTCTCACCACCTATTTGACTGCACCCCCATATGCCCTCCATCAGCTCCATCAGCTCCATCTAGGCCCCATGCGACAGATACTTCAATACACGATCCCTGAACTCTTGAATAGGAAAATATTTGCGTGGATGTTCTTGTTGATCAGTCTGAGAGAGTAAGAAAAAAGCGCAGCCAAGTTGTTTCTGGTATATTCTTTTAAGCCCGTGAGTTGAACAAGACCTTGAGAAGAGCGGACGGCATCGGAACCCGCCTCAATGGGTAACGTAGACCGTCTTGGCTTCGGTCATTATCTTTTCAATGGTTAGCCGACAGTTAAACATAAACATATTCAGATTTGCCAGCCTGTTCCTGACCAACAGAAGACGGGTTTAATTTTGAACTTGCTCGCCGAACGAAAATATTAACCCAAAAGTTTGCGTACACTTTGTGCCACCACCAAATTCCCGGAGCATCGCAGCTCCCGCCCCCGATAATGTTGTTTAGAACTCTGTTTCGTCTGCGACTGATCAGATCATCAAAATCATATTGCGGTCTGGGTTTATCTTTGACCAGAGCCGAGAAGTGAGCCAAATGTCGACCCGTTGGGTACCGTTTGATCGGTGAATTTGGCTACGTCAGTGGCCTAGTATATTTGGCAAACCGGTGCACTGACGGTAATGCCTTGTAGATATGATCACTGAGCGGAATAAAGGCCATAAGGTTTTTGCACCTGTCTCTCTTCGGCGGTGAGTCGATTAAATCCAGATATGGTGCGTTGAGTCCTGATCGCAGTGGATTGCTTTTCCTTCTGGTTATGAAAGTTAGACTAAGCTCGGTAATGGGGGCTATTAACCTAATATCTAAATCTAAAAGAGTTGTAATTACGTTTATGGCTACACGAAGGCTAGAAACCTTCCTGTCCACGGTTCCCTGTCCCTTTAGAGAGGGACGAACCACGCTTTCCCCTGTAATTATACGCGTGTAGACTAAACAACCGCTTAAGCTATTAATAAAGCTATTTTATAATATTCTAAGCTTTTATGCTTAACGTATTCCACTACTAAGTAGCAAGAACTACTAAGTGGTACATTTGATTTTTTACCTAAAAGAAATTAATTTTTTGCAACAAAATATCTTTACAATTACTAAATAAAAATCTCTAAAAGTCTAAGTATAACGTACACTACAGGCAAGTTGATTACACACCTATGTTACTTACTTTTACTAAGACCCTACTAAACTACCCTTTCTACAGTAATGCATTCTAATAACACTACTTAGATGCTCTAAAAGAATGTTAGATATAGCTTACGCTTTAAGCTTTTAAAGTAACATACTATAGCAATGGATATAGTCTTTTAAAAGATAATATATAACTAACATGCTAAATAACCTTTATAAGCTAACTGTTAGATTGAAGCACTGTTTCTAGGCTTCCTGACATGAATGATGGGTTTGGATATGATGTATGGGATGATGATTCATTGTGTTGATTTATCAATCCTTTTTTTTGCTCTACTCGTGTTGCTCGGCTTTTTGTTTTGCCGATCCGAGTCCCTCGCGCACTTGCCCTATGCGCGACCAGCTTGCAAAATGCTGCAATTTGCTGCAACATGCTGTAAAATGCTGCAACATGCTGCAAACTGCTGCAAAATGCTGCAATTTGCTGCAACATACTGTTCGAGCTTATTGCTCGTACTATGTAGCAGCTTTCGTCAAGCGTTCCTCCTGTCTTGACAGTAGGTGCGCATATCTGACACTAATATAGCTAATTCTTTACACACTAAGCATAATCTAGGCTATGTTAGCATAAACTAGCCTAGTATGTTTATAAAGTATTATTTAAAGCTTAAAGTAATGTTTTAAGTATAGGTATAGTTAGTAAATATCTAGCTTATTATAAAGCTTATCTTATTAAAGTTATATATGTTATTATTCTAAATGCTGTACTTAGCTTTAAATTACTTTAGAATTCTTATAAAAAGCTTTTTTATATTTATGCTTACGCTTAAACTTTACTTTAAGCTTTAAATAACACTTTATAAACAGACTAGGCTAGTTTATACTAACATAGCCTAGATTATCCTTAGCGTGTAAAGAATTAGCTATATTAGCTATAGTTACTAGCAAGAAGACAAATCCTTGTGTATATAGCTTAAGTATATACTTTATAATTACTTACTTTTTACTATTATCTAGCCTTTATAAGTTAGCTGTAAAATTAGCTTATAATAATTATCTAGTGTGTTAGTTATTTATTATTTTTTAAAAAGATTTATACATTGCTATAGTATATTACTTTAAAAGTATTATATTCTATTTAAAAGCCTAGAGTGTAAGCTATATCTAACATTCTTTTAGCATATTTAAGTAGTGTTGTTAGAAATGCATTAGTGTAGAAAAAGTAGTTTAGTAAGGTCTTAGTAAAAGTAAGTAACTTAGGTGTATAAGCAACTTGCCTGTAGTGTACGTTAAGTATCTTAGTATTTTATACTTGTAGTGTGTGTTATCTATAAGCTTAAACTAGGTGCTATATTTAACTAGATTCTAATAAAGAGCGCGCTAAAAGTGCAGCTTTTTATGCCACATTATCTAGAGCTCTGCCTAAGTATTAACAAAGCGTGACACCTAGTTCTTGCCTATAGGCTTTAGGGGGGGATCCTAGCTGTGAGCTTAGAGCAGGACGTCTGCTATTTAACGCACATTAATAATATAGGGCAGAAAACCTTATTAGTTAAGGTCTAAGATCTAGTAAATAAATGACTACTTTTTAACAGGTACTAGCATTTATTTCTTTACATTAGTAGTAGCTTATAGGAGGACGCCTGCAAGGCAATTACAGAGCGTTAATTAAGACGTGTTGTACAGGGTTAAGATGTGATAGATAGACAGATTTTTATAATTTTAAAGGACAGAGACAGCTAGCACTAGTCTGCCTTCTTTTGCTCTAATTCAAGCCGTTTTGGTGGTGGTAGAGGCATGTTGGTGGAGAGAGACGCGTCGATTTTGGTGGGGCCGGCGGATGACCGGTGTTGGCGGATGAGTGGTGGAACACGTTATAGTGTACGTTGGTAAAGTTATATATTTAGCAGATCGCTAACTATGGCCAGTCTATTATAATTTGATATCATTACGGCCAAAAGGTTGACGCCTTCGTGATCCCGAATTCTGCAGGGTCCCGAACATGTGGGACCGAACCAGGGGGAGCTGAAAGTTCATTCACCCCACTACCTCCGCTAACGCCCATGCCTTCCCCAGGTTACCGCACTATGATGACTCGGACCAGAACCGCGTCATACTCGAATCTCGAGCGCCTTCCTTTATTGGCACTTGAACTGATCTGCGAGCACGTTTCAAGCTGCAACTCTGGACAGCGCAGCCTCTTCGCATTCTCGCTCACCAGTAAGCGGTGCTCTGCCGCGGCAGCTAGAGAGCGTTTCAAGCAAGTCCATATCGCGCCACAGGATCAACAACAGCTTGAACAGGTCCTGGCACGGTGCAACGAACTTTTCCAAGTCGACGAGCGAACCCAATATGTGCGACGCGCAAGGATCTCTGGACAAGTCACATTCGAGGCTGGGGGAGTAAATCAGTACTTCCGGGACATGCAATTGCATGCCTGGGCTAATCCGGATGACAACGACCATGATGAAGAGAATAGCTTCTGGAAATCAACATCGCTCCAGTATTTTGAAGGCTCTGAGCCTGCCTGCACTCAAGCAAACAAAGCAAGGGGAAACGAAGCATGGAAGCCCGTTGCACAGTTCCTGGCGAGTCTCACAGGGCTCAAGGACCTCTACTGGGCATCCACCGACCAAGTTCCCCGCTGCATATTAGATATGCTGCGCACCAACTTGCCTGGATGTCGCCTCCACGTTCACACGTTCAGTCTCCGCAGCCTATACCAGAAGCGAGGTCAGCTTCATGATGTGGACGTTGATGAGTATGCGCTCGCGACATCTCCATCACTGTATAGCATCTGCGTAGTATCTACGCATCTCGATAGCGATGGAAACATTGACTATAATGAAGAGGCTACTCTACAGATAGTAGCAGGGGCTGCTTCAAACTTAAGATCGGTGTGTATGTGGCACAAGCTCGCAGGGAACTCCCTGCAATTACTCGAAGCAATGCGTTTACCCCGCCCAGCGTGGCAGGGGTTCTTCGCGGAAAAAAGCCTTCAGACCTCGCAGGCTCGTTTGTGGAATATTTCACTGGAGGCGTGGGCTCGATACTCCCCCAATGGCTACAGAACTGGGCTATTCACGCGAACTTCAAGGAGTTGCGCTCGCTTGACCTGGGTATAAGAATCGAAAGGCAAAGCCTCCAAACTCTAACCCGAATGGCAGAAGACGGTAATTTTAAAAGGCTCCAAAAACTTTCTTTTCTTGGATTCACAGATATTGCCGGCAATGATGCAGACATAGCATTCAGCCATCTTCTATCTGTTTTGCCTCCTCTTACAAGCCTCACCGATGAAACCCCTAGCGGAGAAGAGGAAGAGCGGAGCGCGGGCAGTAAAGCGACCTTCATACCCATACTAGAGCGCCATGGGCCCTCCTTACAAAATTTCAAATCGCAGAACTGGTTCACTTATGAGGACGTCCAGAAATTCCGCCAGCGATGCTCCAATCTGCGCGAGCTACATGTGAAGCTCCAGCACACCGAGCACGATAAAGAAGACAAAAGGATATACCAGGTTTTAGGCTCTCACCCGCGTATGGAGAAACTCACAGTAACGCTTTATAACCCGTACCCGCCAGACGAAGAAGGAAACGACCTTCCACCCGGGTCTTACAACGTAAACAAAAAAATTTCGCCCCAGCATCTGCGCTCCGCTTTCATTACCAGAGCCATGGACGTACAACGCGCTCAATCCTTGTTCCAACTCATACTCGCAGCCAATCGTGCCGCCCGACCAGGCGTCATACCATCATTTCGATACCTCAAATTGCGCTCTGTTGGTGACGGACAACCTTGGAACGACTTCGAACGGCTATTGGATTGGGTTGGACGCAGCTGGGTTTGTGAGCGAAGGTTTGCTGATATAGACAATGGTGATGTGATTGTGAGGGAGATTAGGATGCGCGAGAGGCTGCAACTGAAGGAAAGCATGGGAGAGGCTAGGGATGAAAGACAATTGTGGGAAGAGATCTGGCCGGAGGCGAAGGGGAGGAGTGATTGGGTGGACGTGTGGCATAGTTTTCCCTTCAGTCTGGATTTGTAGGCGGTTGTTTGGTGAGCCCTGGTATCCAATTGGCCGAGTACAGAAGACGCAAGTCCTGAAAACGATGAGAAATTCCTTCCTTCTGATGTATTCTTCATAAGATCACAACCACCCTGTATGCCCCGCTTCTCTGGATCAGAAAGGATTCTATGAGTGTTTGGAATCATTTGAAAGCGCTCAAATTTCAAAGCCTTAGCGATGGTGTCGTCTGCCTTATGTCGGTGAAGCGCTACTTCCTGTAGGGAACGAATCTGTCGTGACTAAGGACGTCGTACGGTGATGGATTCGACGCATTTGGCCAGTCAAGGCCGTCTTTCTTTTTGATTCAAGCCGAGCCCGAGTTCTTATTGCTAGCCGATAAAGAGTACGCTCGATGCTTTCGTTGAATTATGATCCGGGTGATACTTGCAGCCACCCTCATTTTGTAGCTGACACATGAGCATACGAGGTATTTTGCTACGTGTAAATGACTGAGTTGGAATGACGCTAAGCCGCTTTCAGCTCAGGCTCTGATTAGCCTTGTTGGAGTGAAGAACAGGTGGCACGCTTGTCCTATTATTAAAGGCTATTTAGTAGCCTGAGGCCGTATCGGAGAATGCGCCCATTTGCGTCATTTGTGCATGAGGAAACCACTTACCTGCAGCACGCCTCTACGGTACAGTAACCTCATCTGCTTGGACCTTCTCATATGACAATTGGATATTGCAGGGCAATCTCTACTCCGAAGCTTAGCATAAGCCAATTATCCTGATAGTCACTTGGTCGCTTTGCCTTCTCGTGCGCCGGATTGCGCAAATATGCGCTATTTTTCCGTCCTATGTATAGAGGACCCCTTAGGAACCGCGTATATCCTTAACATCTAGCGATCGCTTCCATGCAATCTTTGTACCGATGCATTTGATTGGTTTTTCCATTGTCCATCGCCCAATTCGCCAAAGCACCTCGTAATACGGGTCGCTTCCCGCACCGTTTCTACTCTATAGCGACAGCTTTCGACTTTTTCTTAGCTGTAACCCTCCTTACACTCTTTGCATCAGCGTATCCAGATCGGTTTCGCACAGCACTGTGGCAAGATGGCGGCACCCGTGGGCTAAACTCGAACCCAAAACTACGTGTCTACTTCTACGCAAACTACCGCGAGCCGCCTCCTATTCCATTGATATGGGATGAAATGTCAGCTAATTCTATATATCTAAATGTTTCAAAGATGCTGATGAACTAGGATAACTCGATGCAATCTCTGCATCGCAATTGTCACGGCGATCATCTGGGTTCTTCGTTTCTACATTCGGGGACGCATCCAGGACCCGTACGCGGCGGTAACAATTAATGCCATATACGACATGCTGCTCGTTGCGCTGTGGCTCTACAGCGTTGCTTCGCAGAACTCAGGCGATTTCACAGACAATGAGCATATCAGTGTGAGACCATGGTACCTTGATCGTGGATGCGACGATGCAGGGAAAGGGTGTAGAGCAGGATGCGAGGTCATGAGGATTGCGTATGGGCTGAGCGTTTTCACCTTGTGAGTCTAATTTTGGATTTCTGGCGTTTAGCATCATTGTTGGGTGAAGAGACTGATTGAGACAGTAGACTTTGGTTCGCAATACGTTTTCTAGTGACATGTATGCATGGAGCATATCTATTTGGGCTTGAGAAAGGAAATAATGAAAGAGCTTTTGGCTACAGGAACCTCCTCTGATTCAAAACTCCGCCTCCACAATGTATTGTAGATCATATCGTATAACGGGACTGTGGCCAAGAGTAATAACCACAGAACACATCTCTAGGAAAGAATTTTCCCTCTTTCAGTCCCCTAGTTTGTCCTAAGCGTCCACCTACGAATTGAGTGTCTTTCGTCACATCCTCTGGGGTAGGCCGCTTATTCGCTTTTGGAAATGGCTACAGCAAGATATTGCTTCATCTCAGCAACGATAACCCCATCTGGACCCTTGTAATCGCTGAGTTTCTTAGCCCAAGCTTGCTTGATTTCTGCAATGACCTTCGAATCAAGCTTGTCCACGCCAAAGGAAATCCATGTCGAGTCAACGATAATACTTTCCCAAAGCTTCTCTGTCGCTTCTGCCGTGCTTGCATCCCACTTGGCCTCTAAAGACACATTGCTCGCCGTGAGAGCCTTCAGCTCGAATATCGAATCTTTGAAGATCTTATGAAAACCTGCCTGTGGATCGCTAAGCCACACTGGATCGATCGGGGACTCGAATCCTAGCGGTACTGCAACATCAAGAAATATCTTCGCAGGCACATGCGTCCCATGCATGTCCGCAACAAATATTCCACCTGGTTTCAACAGTTCCGTTGCAGCCATAGCCAATACCATCTCCGGAGATGGAATCATGGCGATGGCACTCCCGCAAGTTACCACATCAAAACACCGCCTACCGGCATATGGTTCCGGAAGTGAGAGATCGCTAACATTCTGCTGGAGAAAATCGACGAACTCTCCAACCCCAAGTCTTTTTGCTTCCTGAGACGCAAGCTCCAGGAAATCGTCTGAAATGTCGATGCCCAGAACACGTCCGGTTCGGCCCACCCTGCTTGCTGCGGCGAAGGCCACGTTGCCTGTGCCCGTGGCTAAATCGAGAACCCAGCTGCCCGCTTTGATCGTTGAGCCTGCCGCGGTGACAAGTCTTTGTGCACTTTCGCTGTGTAATGAACCCGTTAAGCCGTTGTACCTTTTGCCGATCGCGTTATAGAAGGACCGAAGGGCTTCCACGTAGGGGCTTGAAAAAGAAGACATGTCTGTGGTTGTCACCTTGGGGAAAGAGCCGAGTCTTGAAATTTGGTGCACACCTATGAGACTGAGGTCAATTATATGATTGCCTTCGCTTACAACTCTATTATTTAGTACCCATTCAGCGAATATGGCCTAACCTTATCAGTAATGGCTAGGGTCAAGCGGTGACTTTTCGGACACTTTCTGATGCATCCAATCGGAAGTATTCCCCTCGAACAAGACTCTTACGCTCTCCGTACATGAGCCCCCCTTGTACATGCCGTCCTAACGGAGGTGTCTTTCAAAAGTCGTTTCCAGGACCGTGCGCGGTGGCGTAGGCCACAAACGCCACAAAAGTCATCCATACCAGGCATCTTTATTCAATATCGACTCATTCATCTGTAATAGTAGCTTGAAACTGTCCTACCTTCTCAGTCTTGCCCTCTCTATACTCATTACCGCCTTCGAGAGGAATAATTTCCTGAATATGCCGTATAATCCTCTCAATCCAAGCCTGAATCCGCCACTGTTCTAACTCCTCCCACCCCTTTCGCCATACGCGCTCTACCTCTGCTTTTGACTGAGGTGCCCCTTTCTTCGTTGTTACTCTTTTTATATAAGCCCAGGCTGGCTTAATCATATTTAAGTCAGGAGAGTTTCCATGCCACAGCAAGTGCATAACCCACCCAAGCTATAGAGCCTGTCTTTGTAAAAGACTTTGTGTGGGCTTGCACCATTCTCTTAAACAATCATTCCGGGACGAGTCTTCTCACATTCTTGTACAAAAGAAATTAAATTTAGGATAACAACCTAACGGCAATATCTCCACCAATCAATCCTAGTACTGCCCTCTCTTTGAAGCTTACTATGCTGTTTATCCCACGTCCATTGTAGTTTTCGTCCTAGTTAATTTCGAAGACCCATTCAAGCCAAAGGCGTATTTAGCTCCTACTTAGCGTTAAGAAGAGGCTCAAGTTCCCTGTTGACATCCTCTAATTCTTGATCTGCAATCTTCCTTTTGCTCATTGTCTATGCCTTCTAGATATAACATGGGCCTTTTGAATCATACGAAAAGCAACCCTAGAACATAAATTCAGAGAATCCCTTCCACCGCGGCCGAATGCAGGACTTAACAAAACGCTCGGAAGATAAATGCCAAACGTGGTATCCTGCTCTTCGAAAACCACAGACCACAGATGTCTCATCAGACTAGATATCCCGTTTCCAGTCTTCAAACAGGGGTTCTTCGCGTATGGCCATAGCACCAACGCTTCCAACAGTCCGTAGTACGTAGACGTAGTACGTTAACGTACCTGTTACGTGAGCCGTACAAACGTAGTCGTTTTTGGAGCCGTACTGTACAGACAGTGAATTGCCAGGTACGTACCGTAGTACAGGACTAAGAGGTTATATTTTAGGAGGGTTTAACCTGTTTTAGACCTAATTAGCTATCACGTTAGAAGTGTTGTTTAAGGTTGTAATTTAGAGTAATAATTACATAAAACTTTATAGTCTATAGCACCTTTTTCTAATTAGTTAGCTAAATAGCCCCTTATAAGTATAGTTAACTTTTTGCTTTACTTTTATCTTATTCCTTACTATTTTCCTAGCCTATTTTATTATTAATTATTATAATAAGCTAGATCTCCTAGCTTTTTAATTATAAAGGCGTACTACTTTATCTTAATTCTTCTTCTAATAATTTAGGGTTTCTTATTACGCTAGCTTTTATTATCTTGCTTAATTACAATCGTCTCTCTTTAAAACGCCCTACTTTAGCCCTAAAAAGTTTTCTAGCTTTTATAATTTTTTAACTAATAATTACTTTAACTTTAAAGTCTCTTTTACTGTAAAGTAGAATAATGTTTAGCTAAAGCTAAAGAAGTTACTGCTAGTTATAAATAATCTAAAATATAGCTTTATTAAGTAGAGTTAGAGCCCTTTTACATCTTTTATCTTTTATGTATAGAAACTAAATAGTAACTTATATATTTATATTAATTACAATAAACTTAACACTATTACTTATAAAGATATGTGTCTAATACTGTGTATAAACAAACTCTTATTAAGACCTATAAAAGTAGCTATCTTTACTAAGTTTAATATTTGCGCAGCCTTTACTAAAATTAGAATAGACCTAAGCTTTAAAAAGTGTACTAGTTACCTTTTAGACATAATATAGAACATATAAATGTAAAGTTTTGCTTTTTAAATTATATAATAGCCTAGTAACTTACTAGCGCTATAGAAATAATATATTAATTAACTACTTAAATAATTTCTACATTACCTACCTAAATAACATCTTTCTCTACTTTAAAAATAAGGCAACTTTTATTTTTTATGTTAAGAAAGTTTTAGAAAGGCTCTAGTAAGCAGGACTATAAGTAAAAATTAAAAAAGTAAATTTTATGTTACTTAAATAAAGTATCTTAGCTGTAACGGCACAGGCAAGACAATGGGTCTGAATGCGGTGGGAATCCACTCAGAGGCATATGGGAGTGCGTGGGGACTCTGAACCTGGGAATGCCATTAACACCTATAGGCCTTGTACAAAAGGATATTAGAAAACTACCAAGCTAGCTACAGGGGCGAGGTGCAACTAAATACACAAAGGAATAAGGGTACAGCAGGGGGGCAGGGCAGAGTTGGGGCCAGGTTGAGTTAGGGTCGGAGCTGATACGGGGTCCCTTCAGATAGGTTCCGGGCGACCTGAGATGGACACGATTCATGAGAATTAAGTTAGGGTTAGAGCTGATACAGGGACCCTTCAGATAGGTTCTGGACGACCTGAGATGGAATGATTCATGCGAATTGTTACATTAGCTATATACTTTTAAACAAAGGACTAGAGGTTAACCTAGAGAAAGTAGAGGTGCTATGCAACTAGCAGGCGCCTACTACTATAACAGGTGTAAAAGATTTTTTAGGCTTTACTAGATTCTATTAATAATTTATTTTAAAATTCTTTTATATAGTAAAACTAATTATTACACTTTAAAGTCTTACTACTTTGTTATATAGACTTTAGAGTGTAATACAGCTTTTAAAAGGCTAAAGTCTAAGCTACTAAGTATACCTATACTTTACTATTTTAACTTTGTGTTGTAAACTAAAATTAAAACTAACACTTTAGATAGAGTAGTAGCAGGAGTCCTATCTTAGAAACATGCTAATAGAAATTAGTGCCCTGTTTTATTCTATAGTAAGGTCCTATCTAGTTTAGAGCTAAACTAGGAAATACATAACAAAGAGCTATTTATAATTATTACTATGTTTAAATAATAAAAGGCTAAGCTTACATTTATAAGAATAAGCACTTTAGTATATACTAATTATTAGTTATTAAAGTACTTTATAATAATAAAAGTACTTAATACTTATTAGGTTTATTAAGCTAAAAAGTTAGCTTAGTATTACTTTTAAATTAAGTACATCACTAGAAAAGACAACACTAGAGTAGACATTCTTAGCTATTATAAATAAGATATAGAAAATTTAAAAGCAGCTTAAACTAATAACTAGCTAAAAGTCTTACTTAGACTATACTAACTTTACTTCTAAATTAATAAGAAATTAGCCTAGTACTATATTACTTAAATAATAACTTAAGTAACTTTACTAAATATTATAAAAACACTAGACTAGGTTATGTCTCTAAATTTTTTAAAATTAATTTATGTATTACTTTAAAAGAATTAAGTCTTTTTTATGTAAAAGTAAAAGCTTTTACTTTACTATTATTAGATAGGAAACAGACTACTTTTTTATGCTAACTATTTATGTGTTTTAGCAGACTTACTGCTATGTACCTAACTTATCTAAAAAGTCTATAACTAAGTATCTTTAGCACACCTTAGTGCTACTAAGACTTATTAGTTACTGTCCTAAAAGTACTACTAAAAGAGTATAAAGGCTACTTATAAATAATATATATAGAATTACCTTCTTTATTATAAAGCTTATTTAAAATAAACTTAAACTCTAGAGTTTATTTACTTTTTTTAATTTCTAATTAACTAATGCAGCACTTATGTATTAACATTAAGAATTTTTTTTAAAATAAGTTTTGTTATAACTAGATTATAGTTATAATTAATTACATGTTTAAACAAGCTATTTTTACTTATTATAAAAAATAAATAGCTAAATAAAGATTATAAATAAGTATATTAATTAAAAACTAAGGCCTTTTATATTTTTTAACTAAGATAACTAAAGTTCCTTACTACCTTTAATTAATTAGGCTTAGATAACTTTACTTTATAAAATAATTAAAATGTTTTTATATTAAGTCTTATATAGCTCTAAACTATATTAAAGCTAGAACTAGAAACATTCTACAGAACCTATTACAGCTATAGATAAGTTAAATTATAAAGATGCTCTAGCATTAGCAACTTGTATACACGCAGCCTAGAAGTTAGCTAAGACCTATATAAAAAAGGCCTAAAATTAGATGTAAACTGTAGTTAACTGCTACTACTAGCTAGTTAACTAAGAGGTTAGTAACATAGTCTACCTAGACACTAAAAGTTAGCTGTTTAAAGACCTAGCTAAAAACTATTTAAGTAATAAAAAGGCTTCTTTAAAGTACTTAAATAAGTTAGAAACTTATACTACCTAAAGCTACTTTTAAGGTTAAAAATACATAATGTCTTTGCACTAAATATACTTTATAAAGACTCCTAGAATCTACTTCTAAAACAAGAACCTCTAAAACTCTGTAGAAGTACTATTAATAATATAAAGAAGTAGAAAGTAAAGAAAATACTTACTAGTAAGCTTTACTAAAAAAACACTTAAGTACTAAGTAAAATAAGTAAGACATAACTTTAATCTAGTCTAGTATAAGGCTTTTAAATTTTATAAGTGCTTTTTATAAACTAAAGGCCTTTTATAATAAGCATTTAAAGTAGCTAGGACTTTTAAAGGCCTTACATAAGTAGATTAAGGCTTTTAAAGCTAGTGTAGAAGGCATAAATTACTTAGTAGATAATAAAGTATAAAAGTAAAAAGTTAATTTATAGTTATACATAATAGTATTATAACTTTACAGATATTACACTAGGGAGGTCTAA